GTCACGTAAAACATTTAATTGAAAGACAGGACCAAACTGTTCAAACATTTCACGTAATTCTGATTCATGCATATTACGTGGAATTTGACCACAAAACATTTTAATAGCATCTGGATCGGGTTCATGTTTATCAATATTTATTGTTGATATAGCAGCCGATGATGGTGACGATGATAATGTTGTTAAATTTCCTTGAGTATTCATTAGTATTTATTAATAATTTGTTGAATAAAATACATTGATGAACAAGACGAGACGATATTACGAATAAAAGACGTTAACGAATATTGACGAACAACGACGACGACCATCTCAAGGGGACAAGACGACGAACGAGAACGAAGAGACAACTAGAAAAGAAGAAAAGAACAGCTTATACATATTTAATAAATAACTAAATAAATCAGTAATTCCATCAAACAAATTTCTTTTTTTTTTAAATCATATCAAATATGTAAAAAAAAATAAAAAAACAAATGTTTTTCGATTACTTTATCATATATATATATAAGAAAAAAATGAGGCTCATAACTAACCAAATGGTTTTATGTTTACTCTGTTTACAAACCTTGTTATTATAATACATGAAAGCAAAATATCATTCGATGGACGGAAAGCTCGTCGTTAAGAGAAACTTCATAGATGTCGTTATATTTCGCGAATAGAGAAAACATGTATGAAAAGATTTTTTAGTAAAGTTATATTTTAGATAGACTTTATTTTTCTTTAAATTAAGGCACTTTATTTTATTTAATTGCGCGAGTTTTTACTATTGAAGGTATTCTCAAGACTCTTGAAAAAGATTGCTTTCATAAAATGTTAGATTGACTGAATTGAAAAAAAAATTAGTTTTCTAGTTAGATTACATTTATTTATTATATAACTTACAAAGATAAACAGTACCCGCTCATTATATCTCTAAAGCTTATCAATTAATAGAAGAATTCGTTAGTTTATTCGAGAAGAATAAATCTTTCTAAATATTGAGTCCTGACAATTTATTAAAATGAGGACATTTGCAAATCAAAGAATAATACATTAACATATTCATTATTCAATTTTTTTTTTATGAAAAACATTTCTGTTTAGAGAAAAAAAAATTATTAAACGAAAATGTCTCACTCATACAAAAATGTTTGCTTTACTCGATGATGAATAAATAATGATCTACAAAATATAGGGTATCCTAAAAGTTATGATTGCTAAATAAAACCTGATAGTTTCGCCACTGATCAAACTTGATCCCAAGAAGGCATAGCTAATTTCTATTTCCAGGAAATTCAAATTTCTGCACATCACTATTCAATGATTGATACAAACTAAACAATACTGCTACCAAGATCCAGATTAAGTGTCTATAATGTATAGCTAAAGTTGACTATTATACATTCAATTGAGCGGATAGAACTTGTAGTCTAGCGTTGAGTTGGGTTAAGAAGAGTGTGTGTGGACGAAAACAAGAGCCAAACTTAAAACAAATGAAATCGATTCGATTTGGCATATAAAATATTAACATATTTTTCGTCCACTAAAAGACAACTAGTTAAAGCAGAAACTAGATTATTTCTCTATTTCAAAATATATATTCAGATTTCCTTTCCGGGATGAGATCGAACAACTATCAGTAAGTTTTGTGAAGAAAGCTCAATATTGTGTTTGTACAAATCAAAATAGATATTTTGGAGTAGTTCTTAGTCTACGTAACTTTGTTTTGAAACAGATTCAACTCTTCTCTATCTTAGAGCATTGAATTTTGTACACAATTAGATATTACAATAAGCAAAATCTTACGTTCCCTCAAAATCTATGCGCTTCCAGTAAAAAGCTAGTTTCTATGCAAAACGGTATTAGTTGAAAGTCACTGCTTCAAAAACTGATTTTAAAAATAAAACAGTTTTGCAACCTGTTATGTAACATAAAACAAAAAAGTGAATAGTACACTTGGAAGAGCAAAAATTGTCCTATAAAACTGAACATTAAAAACTGTTTTGCATTTAAAAGTTGATATGGTTCAATCAAATTATAAAACTGACCAAAATATTATTATGTACAACAACTAGTTTGAACCTTTTGAAGCAATCTAATGATAGTTGTCCAAGCTTAGCTCACTAAGAAATTCTGATTTTGGCATTATAACCAGTTATCTCTTAGTAACCAGATTGTTAATTTCATCCTTTGGCACGTGCATAATTGTGAGCGAAGTAGCATTCCATTTTAGATATATTTGAGAAGTCAATTATTACGTTGAAGCGCCAATATATTCAAGTTATTCATTGAAGCATTCGACAATCATCAACAGCAACGAGATGAATTTTCGAACTCAATCTAACCCAAAGGATATACATTTTCTGTTGATATATTATTTCTATTAAAATCAATTTCTTACGCTTATTTCTCAAAGCATTCAATTAAATTTCTATGAAATTTTTTCATAGTCATATCATTTGAATTTTCTGGAGATAGGAACTTATCATATCATGAATCAAAAATAGTAAGCTTTTGTTTCTAAAGAACAAACCGGTCAACAGTGTAGAGATAGTAACAGTTTTGACTACTATTCAAAAATTTGAGGTTTGTTTTAAATACCTACTCAAATTTCTTTCGTTATTACAGGCTTTCGATCATTTAAGTCTTTTATTGTCATCAACAGCAACAAGCTTTTTAATAAATACTAGTTTTTATGTATTCTCACGCAAAGAAAGCAACAGAGCATATTATAATGTCAAAATGCGTTATAGAATGACCTAACACATTCGTTTTCACACTTACTAAAGTTTTCGTAGAATTACGAAAAAGTTGTTGTGAAAAAATGCATCAATCGTTTTAAGATATGTCAAAGCAGTAACTAAAAAGCAAAGATCAAAGATCTGCATTTGAGACTGAAATTAAATCGAAGCAACATATTCGATTCACAGGGATTTCTTTCTTTATTGTATGGTAATACCGTTAAATGAAGGTTTCATGGATCAATTTGCATAAATAATGATTGCTAACAAAGGGTAGTAGTTATCTCTTCCATTTCTTGGCTTTTTTTAGTATACAGTGTGTTTAAGTTATTAATTTGTTCTAGTTTTTCTTCTCGATAATCATGTGAGACATAGAGGAGTCTTTTTCATCTGTAGTACACTCAACATCTACCATCAAGTCTTCATTATTGAATAATAATATTCATTTTCAGGTCTGTCTATTGGTATCAGACGATCAACGGCTCTCTCTTGAAAGTTATTCGGTTTTCCTGAAGTATCAAAAAATGAAGATCTAGAAAAGTTCTAACATAAACTTGATTTTGCATAGTCCAAAATATACTTTGACACACATGAGTATAAAAACTCTAGGTCAGTTGATAGACAACTGTCATTGTAAGGAAGCAATATCTTGATACAATGAATAGTATGTCAAATTTTCAAAATATTCTTTTTGAACTCCGTCTAAACCGAATCGAATTCGAATTGAAGATTTTCCGTTCGTTTCCGTCTCTGATCTGCATGATTTGAGATTCATAATAAACGATAGAAATTCAAATATATATAAAGAAAACTACCGTTGCTATGCTCTTTAGCATTGAAAAAAATCCTAGTTTTTGAATTATTGACTGAAGTGTTACTTTGTCTACATTCTTGATGAACTTAGCTTTTAAGTATAAAATCTTTCTAGTCTAGTATTTCAAAGGAAAAAAAAAATTTTGATTAAATTCAAACAATAGTGTATACTTATCTACATTTATTAAGAATCCTCTAAAAAAATCTAACTTCAAGAGAATGTATGAGATGTTGATGAAACTTTATGTAGATGTTTGATTCATGGAAGCACATTAGTAAAAAGAACTTTACTACTCTACACCTTACCACTCAGAAGATTACCAGGAACAAATTACAAAGAAGACCTTGAATGCATACATTTTTTTATCAATATGTTTCAAACTGCAGAGCTCCGGTTTCTTCATTTGAAGGAGAATTCGTTACGACTTCAGATGAGCGAAAGAATTTATTTAGCTTTTATTGTGTCAATTTTTCGATCATGAAAACTTCAAAAATCTACAATTTCTAGGTATGGTTTTCTATAAAACTTCTGCTGTACGTAGCATTGACGATTAATTAGAAAATTTCTTTCCTCGCCTGAAAGACTATGCATATATAAATGTACATATATATATATATCGATTAAAGAAACACACGTCTTTAGAATGAAATAGAATCAAAAAAAAATTGTCCACAATTGGATCATTACCAAAAAAATCAATATTAAGAAAAACTCGAAGGTTTTTTATTTATTCTTCCTGTTATACAAGATCCATCACAATAGAGAATGCGACCTATTATCGTTTTTATATTAATAATACCTTTCAACAGCATAATCAAGACAAAAGAATAACAAATTCATTTTTTTAATTCGCTTGTTGTTTTAGAGTGTTATAAAGATTGATAATGATATGAGTGAAGAGAGGATTTATATCTATGCTCTCATCTCATTGTAAACTTCGAAAGTGTGTCTTTAAGATGCGTAGGATTTTGAATACCTGTGGAAAATATTCGTTTATTTTGCAGATTTAACCCTAGAAAAAGAGTTTTCTGATAGTTTCACCGATCATTCATATAACCATAGAGAATCAAAACTGTTTCTTTATAAATTCTTACGGTAGACAACGCAAGCAACATGTTCATATGTTTATCTCAAAATCTATTTGTTCTGTCGAAAATCGAATATTTAGAGAGAAGCCTATAAGTTATCATGTCTTTTGGAACGATTCGGACATTTGAATGTTATGTATCAATAACATAAGATCATCTGCTGACAAATAAGTGAAAGTTTGTCTTCCATATCTCAAATTCTTTTTCTTACAAAGATTTTTATTCCAATAAACTGTCACACAAGCTAATAATTCCATACATATAAACACCAAAAAAAAACTTTTTGAAAATTTCAAACAAAGGAAACAGATCAAAAAAATTTCTTTTTACAAATAAATTAATGAATACATATTTAAAAAAAAACAATGAAAATTATACACATGGCATGGCTGAAACATCATCATCATCATCGTCATCATTATAGAAATCGCATACACCTTCAGTATCATCCATCACATCATGATAATCATCTGGTTGAGCCACCTCACCTAGTAGAATAAATGGTTCTGTAGATACTAAAATAGAATAGTAATTATAGAAAATTTTAATAAATTTAATCTTTAATCATACCTATAGAAAAAGGTGATTCTGCAGAAGAATTCTACAAAAAATACAAAAATTTAAGATAAAATTTAAATTAAAGTACTAACTTCTATTTGATCATCTGTCATATTTGGTATTGTTTGTGAATTACGATTTAATAGTTTTAAATTCACTGGATAATGACGACTTTGAAAATGAAATTGATGAGATATTTTTTCACCATTCTATAACATAAGAATTTTTGTAGGATTATTTCTTTTTCAATAAGTTTTCTATTACTTGTATTTCATTTATTTTCATCGATGTTCCATTTATTCCTTCAGCTATAATAACCACATCATCATCCATAACTTGACATAAATCATCTTGTGTCAAATACAACAAACTAAACAAACCAAATAAAAATAATAAAGTTAATAATTTTGTTGTAGCTTTTCTAAATTTACTCTTTTAAAGTTATATCATCGAATGTATTGGCAATACTACGTTCAATTAACCGAAGTTTTTCAGTCCAAAATGTTGATTCATCTTCAAGTTCTTGTAATTGAGCTTGAGCTCGATGAAGACGTTCATATGCTTCGACTGTATTATCACCAGATATAGCACCTCTTCAATAGAACATAGACAGACAAATAAAAAATTTCTTATAAAACATCGATTCAACAGACTTCCATTTTATTGTATTTTTTGATTGTTTTTCAATAAGACCAATGCCTTCAAGAACGTTTGTTATATCATATATTCGTCGTTTTTGTTTCGTAGCAAGAGAATCTGCGACCTATTATTGGAAAATCGAGAATAATTTATATTAACAATAAATTAGTTGATGTTTGTAAACAAGAATGAGGTAGACTTATGAATTGGAGATTTGCGTGACTTCGATGAAAAAAAAAGAGCGATCATTCGACATCAAAAAAATAGTCATTCAATGGAACAAGCGATGAAAACATTAATCATATTAGTTTTCATCCATATCCATGTGTTCGAACGACTACAAATACAAACTTCTCATTGCTAAGCAAGAACTTTGTAGAATACTATTAAAACTGCTCCTATCTATAATTTTTGGATGCCAATTAAGATGTCAGTAATTCAGTAATGCAGCGAAGTTTTCGTTTTCTATTTTGTTTTGCATATTAGCTGGTAGAGTTGATCGAGCTCTACAAGACAATATATATTGAAAAATTTACAAGTTCTCATTCAATGATAAAAAATTAGAAAAACCTGAAAAAAAACTCTAAATATGACAACATTTATTTTGAAATATTCGAATATTATCTGATAAGGACCTTTGAATAAAAGTGACTAGATCATGTGGTATAATTATCAAACCTTGTTTTCTCAATTATTATTATCTTACTCATCTTAAGACCATAGCCTAACAATGAGGTCATAGTTTCAAACATATTTTATCAAAAAATATTTTTTGTCTAAACTTGACATGTAGAAGACCATATGTAGGCTAATGAGACGAGCCCAAACCTCGTCGCTGGAGTTGCAGAGATATTATGACTTAGAATAGCTTTTCTTACTAAAAGTTCTATCAATGAAGAAGGATAGGAGCTTATGATCTAGTCAAACTATCATTATGTAAAATATCCACAATTTTGAACGTTTAAATCAAACTTCAGAAAGTTTTAGCATAAATAATTGCATTAATGGACTGCATGATACTCTTGATGAAATTTTCTAGTTAGAATTGGATAGTCGCTACGAAGATCTGAAATACTCTTTTTTTTTCAATTTTTATATTCGGTGAATAGCACTCTTTACACAAATCTCAAACGTCTAGAACTCATCAGGTCCACAATTTTTGTCTCCAGACCAACAATTCGATGGGCTCTATCTCAGACCTAGCAATGTCCTTACCAATGCTGCCACCTTTTGAAGTCCAAAAAGCAGAAAATCATTTATAAAAAGCAGAATAAAAAGACAGAAAGCATTTTCTGTGATATAAAGCTGTTTTGAAACTTTGTCCCAGTATACTAATTAAGTGCTTTCACATCAAACGTTTATCATTATTGTACAGAATCAAGAAAAACAATTAATTAACAAATAAACAGGATTATGCAACAAAGTTTCTTTTGAACGTATATTTTTCATCATATTTAATAGATTTTAATAAATCTTGATTACCTAATCAATATTTATGTGTTTCAATACATGATAAGAATGAATTTAAAAGTATTGCTAATAAAGCTGATATTTGTTCTGTTCCTATACAGTTCCTTTTATCATTTAAAAAAAGTTTCAATTTTCAGAATGCTGATTCCACATAAGGGTCGCTACAAAGTAGAGAATATGAAAGCATACTAGCTTCCTAAAATTTGGTGATTAAGTGAAAGAATATTTAACATCCATAACTAGTCGGAACTAACAAAAATAAAGATCATTTTTGTACCATTGAAAGAATTATAATAGAACAAAAACATTCCCATGTCATCGAAATCGTCACAAAATCGATGATTTTATCGCGTTATGTTAGCGATTAATCGAGAGATTATATCGCGATAAATCGTAAAAATTGGCGATTTTTCTTGAATTCTTGCAACAAAAACACAGAAAATGAAAAACCTATATGACTTTGATGGAATAGGTCGACCATATATAGACTATCTGTGTCAACAGCCAAATCAAAATCGCCGATTATATTGCGATATGCTAGCCCGATTAATTGTGAGATTATATCGCGGTAAATTGTAAAAAACTGCCGATTTTTGCTAATTTTCACCGAAAAATCGCCATTTATGCTAAACTTCGACAATATAATCACCAAATGCTAGCGATTAATTGGCGTTTTTTTTTAAATGGCGGAGAATCGTCAAAAGTAAGACGATTTTGAGGACATGGGTTAGTAACTATTGATAAGGATTTTTTTATAATCGTAAAAAATGATCTGTGAGATGAACAATATTTTAAAAATATAAATTTCGCAGTATCCAAAAAAGCAGAAAAATTCTCCAAAAGCAGAAACCACAGAAAAAAGACAGAAAAATTTTCAAACAGCAGAATTTTTCTGCTAAAAGCAGAAGAGGTGGCAGCTCTGGTCCTTACCTTCTCATATCTGAGCATTCCAAAACCAAGGTTCTCATATTTAGTTTTACATGCTGAGTCTAACGAAAACTTGACCGAGCTTTTCAAAAAACAAGAAGGCTCAATAACATTGATGTAATTGAGAATAAAAAAAAAAATTATCAATAATAAAATAAAACGAGTTTTTATAGATTGTCCTATTTTTTGTTGCTGAAAGAGAATTTGACATGTTTTAAGATATATTGTTTTGCAGAGCTCATTGTGATCTATCTGCTCACAAAAACTCTCTAAAAGAGATTTGGCAGCATCTTTGAATTACTGACACCTGACATAAAAATAGATCGTATAAAATATATTATTAATAAAAAGCAATATGCGAATCTAAATTTTATTTTTCAAGAAAAATAAACTTACATGTTTTAAATCCATAACACCAGTTTTTGATTGTCTCAAAAGTGACATAAAACGGCGTGTTAAAGTTCCGAGACTTTTTTCTTGACGTGAATAACCAAATCGTCTTTTTGTTGGCGTACCTCCGGTTGAACTACTACTAGTAACTGCTGCTGTATTCGAACCTGAATCGTCATCATCACAATCAGTAATAAGAAATGGACATGATGTTGAACTTGTGGTTATTGGTTTCGATGGAGATATTTCAGCTGACTGTTGTTGTTGAGCCATAAACAAATAGATTGAATAGTATGACAAAAACAAAAGATTTGATGAAAACTTTAATTTTTTCGTCTAACAAAAATCGAATTCTACGCCATGATTATTAATCCGCTTTTCTTATCTGGAAAATACCAATCAAATCTAATGAACTCATAGAACACCTATGCATTTTGTTATTTCATCAATTGTGAGGCTTAATGTAAAAGAATGATTGGATAAAATACTTGCATGATAGAAGATTAACATCAAGCGACAAAAAGAAAATAGAACAACAAAACAGATCACATATAAAGGTGTGTCTGTGAAAAAAGCACAGCGATGTCGTCGATTGCGAGTAGTGTATCGGAAAATACGATCAAACTCGATTATCTCGGCTCGCCCGTATCTCATAATGTTCGACCATATTCAACTATACATAGCGATATTGATACAAAATCTGTTGGTTCAAAATCAGTTGGTTCACGTACTTCAAAATTAACTTATAGCGGTACAAAAAATTGAAAATAAAAATATTGATTAGCTTTTTTTTGGTTTATTTAGAATATCCACAAGTAAGACCAACTAATCCACTCTATTCGAGTACATTTACAATTCGAACATTTTCATCGGGTATTTCAAATGCATCAAGTACAGCAACAGTTGTTGAACGTCGAAAAAAATTTGATCCACAATTACCAAAACGTCCGAATGATTGGCGTTGGTTTTCTGTTCTGTGTATTTTTCTTTTTCCACCAACAGGTAAAATAAAAATTGTGAATAAATTGTTGTCGGATGAGTTTTTTGTTTTTTATTCTTGTTCAGGTATCATTGCATTCGGCTTGGCTCGTAAAGCACAAATTAAATGTAAAGATGGTTTTCTTGATGAATCACGTAAATTAAATAAACGTGCACTGGCTTTATGCATTATAAGTGTGATTTGTGGTGTTGCTCTTATACTTGGTTTCTTCTATGCCATGGATTCATGGCCTCGTTCAAATGGTTAGATATGAAACAAAATAATAATTTTTCTTTTTCAATAATCCTTTTATATTGGCTATGGGTGTTTATGTTTTGTTCGTCGTCAGATACATCTTTTTATTTGATTTGCTCAAGAATGATGATTCTTTTGTTTTGATTTCTTTTTAAAGTGCAGATCATTTTCTTTGTCCTATTACAATTTCTGTATGATAAATTTTGTACATTCCATTTTTCTGTTTATATTATTTAGTGTTTGGCGATCAGATCTGAATTTCTTTTTTTTTTTACTTGTTTAATTATTATTTCGAATAGATAGACTAGCTGTTTCTGTATTTTTGAGTGTAGATATACTAACAAACATACAGAATATTTTTTTTTGTCTATCGTTTTTAAAACGAAAAGTTATATGTTACAAGTGTCGTTCTTTTTAGAAGAAATAAATATCTTAGTGCTATGTATGGTTATCTAAATTGAAGTAAATGAAAATCATTAATGTTATAAATTTATAGTAGTAAATAAAAATTTCTCCTCTTGTCAGATATCAGCTATCATAGGTACTGGAGACAAAGTCCTTCGAGTCCAAAATTTTTGGATGCGGGCCTGGTCGAAAAGCATACTTATAGAGAGAGTCTAAACAAAATTATTTGATTTGAAGGAATCAAAGTTAGACATCAATTTTGAGATTTCATCTAGAAGATATAATCAAGCTGTAGCAGAACTGAAGCTCCCTGTTCGAGAAAGATTTATTTGCTTAAAATTATTTACCTGTTCAAGTCTCATAACAATTTGCTGATGTCCTCATTTCACACCTTCATTGCTACTCTGAGGTCCATAGGAACCTATATATTGAAAAATATAAAAAAATCAATACTCTTAATTTTGTCAAGACTTATGCGCTAGTTTTCCTGTAGACGCAATATAAAGACATAACGTATCAAAAATAAGATCATCTAAAACTGTTTGCATATCAGCATTGAAGTATAATTACAAAAATCATAGATTCAGTCATTTCAGTCTAGAACAGCAGAAATATGCTGATATGTTCATATATACGATTGCCTATAGATAAGTGCAAGAAAAATATTTTCCTTGTTGTTTTTCTTTTTGTACCTAGTTTAAAACTTTAAAGTTGTAGTTTGTCTGTCATAATGATGAAGTTGTTCTTATTTGATTTTCTTCGATGAAGACAGAATATTTTCTTTACATGTCTGGCAAGTTACCATTTGTTAGTTTTTCTTACATTTCTTTACAAACATCTTAATAGATTCACTTGATTCGAATGAACCTACAAAAAACCGATGTAGCATGGTTTCGATAAAAAACCAATCACAAATTTCTCAATACATAAAAAAAATCAATCATAACCATTAATAATGAATATGAAAACGAATTTATTTAGCAAAATAATTGGGAGAGACCAAGTAGCAACTTTAGCAAGAAGAAAAATGATCCCTATAATACCGTTGTTATTCTAAGATTCATGCAAATCCATAACTGTATATTTTTTTCCTCTTAGATCTATTCATGGTCTCTGATAGGAATATGATGTCCCTACTAGAGACTGGAGATTATAGAATAAACCTAATCCGACAGAACAAATGTTTCACAAAGAAATATCATTTCTTTAACGCGAAACTTATTATAATGAACCATTCGTTAAACGTCAACAACTTATAATAAGTTGAATATGAATAGCATGAGTTTTTATTGACATAAATTTTATTTAAAAAATGATTAGTGAATTAGTAATATACCTATACACATGACTTTCTTCATTGTTATTCGAAAGCACGACAAATCGATCTTACTTTTTTTTCGTTTGAGGCCTATCCAGTCTTGATCAAATAGCCTTGTTTTGCGTAATACTGTATGAGACAGTAACTTGTAACATTTAATGACGATTCCAATGTTAGTTACAATAGTATTTTACGTCATCAAAGGATTGTAGGTGTAGTTTTAAGTACAACACACTTGAACAAATCATCTTATGAGTAATGTCTCGACTAAAATAATTAGTCACAGCAATACTATGACGTATTTCATGTGTTTCACTTCTTTCATATTAATAATATCTCTATGAATTACTGATCACTTAAATATGCATATACCACATATGTATAAAAAATAAAAGCATTCAGGATGTAAATACTCAGCTTCTATACCATAAAGTGTCATATTTTCTATTTAAGGTAAGTTAATTTCTATTATTAGATTAAGGGGATCATTCTTTCTTTTTCGAAGTTTCTCGGCAATGACTCGACGAACAATTACGAAAGTTTCAAGCTTGATAGATTTGAATATGCAGAGAAAAAGTTGTCATAGACTCAAAAGTGCTAGATCCTTGCATCAAAGAGATATTGAGGTTGAAAGTGCCAAAAATCTTCTCTTCTTTTTTTTCCAAATATACCGTTTCTAGAGCTCAAAAGGAGCAAAACACTTGAGACGCGGTCAAAAAAGCGTGTTTCTTATGCAATGCTACTAGTTTTTTAAATACTGTCGAGTTTTGTAGGAGCAACATTTTGAAAGAAAAAACTACTTCAATTTAACTAAAGTATTCATAAAGAAAATTTGAGTCCAATCGGATATACCGTGCAGGAACGAAACAGTGGAACACTTCGTATTTTTTGTTCAAAAATTGATTTGGAGAAAAACGAAAAACAAACTTTTCCTGTGCGTCAGAACTATGTTTCTCAAACTAAAATGATCGAAGACTGGTCGTATTCAGCAGTGTTAGCCGCCTATGACTCCTGCTCTCAGCACCTTTAGAAATAATGATTAGAAAAATTTTGCATATGAGTAACAATCCCAACGCGAGTTTTTCTGCTAGAGAATTCAAGAATTAGGTTTAATAAAAGTACTAAATATTAACAAAGAACCAACATTTATATTGTATTTGATAGAGGATACTTCGAAGCAATATTAGCGATGAAAAACAAAAAATTGAAAAAATTTTGATTTTAACATTCGGAAACGTAGAGGGATCTCTGTAATCAACTAGTGAATATTTCGATGAAAATGCAAGAAAAAAATTGAATATATATAATATCATTCAAGACTTCAGTCAATGGATCCATAAGGTGACTTTATTTCGATTAAAACAAAAAAAAAATATGAAGATAATCCGTTGTTTAAACAAGATTTCCATCAATATATATGAACAATAAATTAGTGAATTTCTAATTCATCAACAAATAAACAGATAATAATGTTTCTTCATTTTACAAGTGTTTTTATATTTTCTAAAATAAATTTCATTTTGTCTTTATTGATTTCATCAAATGGAACTTAGCATAAGAACAAAGACTAGTTTATTCGTAGTCCACAATACGAAAAACAACAAAAATATTTTGAGTTTAATAGATTAATTATTTCTTTCTACGGCGTTGATAAAGTTAAATTACAATAGAACGAAGAAAATTAGAAATGTGATTATATTCAAAGTAATAATTAAGAATTTAATTAGAAATATATATTTCAATAAAAAATAATTACTAAATTTAATATCATGAGTGTAATTATCTTATTACAGCTATACAAGTCTTCATGGATTCTAAAGACAATAGATCAAGCTGTCGCTATAATGTCGGGCCTTTCGATTCTGCTGACGTAGACCGAGGTACGTGATTTTATCGACTATTTAAATAGATCTAAAAACTATAATTTATTAGAAGTTTATGAAATTATGTCAACAACACATGACACAGTAAGTAAGTTTTACTTTTAAGTGGAATTTGGATTTGTTCTGTTTCTTTTTCTGTAGTTAAAGTGTGAATCATTTCTTGATGTATCAAATAGAAATACGATAAAAACTAAAAGGAAGTGTGACTCATAACAAAAAATAAAAAATATTATAATTCTATTTTGATTTTAATATTGATCTAAATATTAAATAAATAAGAAAGTCAAATATTTATAAAGAATGAATGGCATATGTACAAAGTTAATTGTACACAATTCATATAATATAAATACAACAGAAAAAACCTAAACTAGAAAAAATGAGATTGAATATTCTTAATGATATTTACGATTGTATTAATAAATAAGTAGGATTTGGTATTCGTTGGAAAATGATTGTTTTATTGGAGAAAGAAAATCACGATTCTGATAAACTTAACTAGCGAAATTCAACAAGAAAAAACCCTTTTTCTTTATGTTATTATGTATGAAATAGATGGTATTTTATTTGCCTTTCGATCAATCAAGGTAAATATTTGTTTTCCAAATGATGGGAGTAATAGATTGACACAGATCTAAAGGATTATTAGTATTTCTTGTATTCGTTAGATGTCTTCATGACCAATATCGTCCTTTGAAAGTTGTCTATTATCTGTATTAGTATTATCATGTTCTTGAAATTGATTTACTTGATTTTCACTTACTGCTAAATTTGACTTATCATTATTAGGATATTCAGCAGACGATATTTGTTTTGCTTTCGTATCGGCATTGCGAAAGGCAGTTAGTATAAGCATAGTAATGAAGAACAGAACACCTAAATACTTCATTATTTGATTTATCTAATGGAAAGAATAGACGTCGATAGATAGAACAAGTAGAAAATTTCGAAAAAAGTACACATGAAGTTCATCATCTTCTCTATATATACATTCTTTTTTTTTATGTAGTAGTTGCCACTTAGAATCGAATGTTACATACTCTCATTAATTATTGATCACTGTGTTTTCTTTTGTTTTCTTTTTTTCGATTGAGATAAGAACACATATGGTCTTAATGAAATGACATATTTTCATATCTAACACAATTTAACCAAATATAAAATGACGATTGATAAACATCACCTTCATAGTGCAACGATTCAAAATATTTCCTTTAAATCATTATTTGATGATTAGCACAATGAAAAAAAAACACCAGAACGAAAGAAACTTTACCCAGACTCTTTATTCTTTGTTACAAAGAGTGTTTTTTTTCATTCTCTCGTTTTCGTCTTGTTAACACGTTTTAACGATATAAGGTGTGTATACGTTTTTGTGAGAGCGAGTGAGAAAGAAAAATAATATATATTCGTATGAGAATGTTTTTTTTTTCAAAAACAAGGAAGTAGAGGAAAGAAAAGCGGAATAATACTGCTTCTTGGATCTTTCAACTATTGTTGCCTATCGATACGAGACATAAAAAACGTAACATGTAAAAAAAATGAATCGCATAGGCTTTCACGAATACTAAGAGTCTGAAGCACGTTTCTGTCACAATAACAAAAAAGTTTATGCAGTTTTCTTTTGCCCTATTATCTAATCCATGAGAACATTTTTTGATATATTGTCTAATTTGCAAGTACGGTGAGTATTGTATATAATGTATTTTTTCAATGATTTTATTTTGTTTGTAATTGGTTACAGTTTTCTTCGTGGTCTTTCATCCGTATCAAATGATTGTACTTCAACTGCTGTATTTCAATTTTTAGCTAATGGTACAAGTGAATTTCGTGTTCAAGTAAATAAAACAGACAATATCTTAATAGAAAAATCTCATATTATTTATTTAGGCTGATGCTAAATGTCACCTACAATTTGCGGCATTTTATAAACATAATGGCATACTCTACTCGCATCCTTATACTCTTCGACAAAAAGATAATCGTCTAGTACATAATGCAGTAGCTATTGAACAATACCAACAAGTCACGTACGGCTTTTCTATTTAGAAATAGATACAAATGATAAATAAATACTCATATGATTCTAGTTATAATATTTCACTTTTTCTTGAACTGAAACGTTTACGAGATTTTGATGTTGAGGATTTGAAAAGATATTATGAAGCTATCGATAGAAGTGTTGATACCAATGAAGAAATTCATGGTAATTAAAAATTTCATTTGATTATTCTTGAAATAATTACAATTTAGATTTTCATGATATTTATCTTATCTTAAACTATGAAATCAATGGACAATCGAGTACATTTCATTGTAATAATGGTCAACCGATTGTATGTTTGACTTTCTTTTTATTTTTCTGTGCTACTAACTTTTCTATTTTCTCAAGCACTTACCAAAATTTATTTCAAATCCATGGACACATGAAAACACCTTAACCCGTTTTAGGTATACAACTTCTTATATTTTAATTGAAAGTTAGCCATATATTGATTATTCTTAGATACGATGCAGAAAATCGTGATGGTACATTTCCATGTGAAATGAAGGTGAGTATTTGTTAAGTTATTAAAATATCGATTCATAGGTTCGTATTCATCAATATAGCTGCGTTATGGAAATATTGGTAATTTAGATTCGTATAAAATTATGCTTTGTTTAACAACTAATACAATACCAGCACGAATGGATAATCATCCAATTCGATGGACATGTAAAGTAAATAGTGCAACATATTTCTGGCGAATAATTAAATAGAAATAGCTTGTTCTTTTCATCTATTCAGCTTAGACCAAGAGTACCAAGACAAAATCGATCATCAAAACGATTTGTAGACAAAGAAACATCATATTGTTTGAATCATCCATCAGGTATTGTTATTGCTCATGTTTATGGACCCGATCTGAAATTCATGTAAATTTTATTGATTTCAATTTTGATTTTGATATAATTTTTCATTTAATTGATAGTCCTCACAGATTGCATCCACTGGGCAATCTCAATTATGTTACATCTTATTTTGAACCTGAAGACTTTAGAACTGCATTAGAAAATTCGTAAGCTTTACTTTATTTAATCACTTAATCAATAATGGAATTTTCCAATTTATAGCGATAATCGAGATAATAGTACGTTGGCTGTTGCAGTAATCAAAGAAATAGATTATCCAATGTATATGAAAGATCGTCGAAAAAATAGAAATATCTTACGATATTTACCATTTAATGAATTACAAGATGTTGATAGTAATTTAGAAAATGGCAACAAAGAAGTAACTAAACGTCTCAAAGTTCATAGTAAAATATATAAAGAATGTTTCGTTTTTCGAATAAATTTTTCTTTTATTTTTATAGAGGAACAATGTAGTAAACAATTAATTCTATGGAATGAAAATGAAATGGGAACATATAGTCAAGCTCATGTTCGACTCTATGTTGCTGCTTATGATGAAAATGATATTCTACTAACAGAAGCATTACATCCACCGATACGAAATAGCAAATCATTCGAGCAGTTACGCATTATGAGAATAGTACAACCTAGAAATGAATTACAAGCACATCAATCAGCATATGTCTATTGTGATTATGATTACAATAAATCAAAATCCGAATACGATTTCTGTCCATATAACTTTGAGTTGTGTTTTGCACCGTCATCAAATACATTGAATCAAAATCAAATCTCACAATTATTTGACAAACCACACATATACATAAGAGCTTGTTATGTTCCTAATTGTCCAGTAAGTGTTGTAGATAAATTAAAATGTTTACAAATACTTATTCACTAGTGAATTTAAATGCAACTACTTTAATTTCAAATTGTTATTTATCTCAAAGTATAATGTACCTCAGTGTTCTTTAGTCATCTTTTGATAGGAACATCATAAAGACCTGCAACTTACATCATTTAAAAGATAGTATCCGGTGTCATCGAAGTATATCGAAATTAGACTGATTAGCAATTGAGTGATAGAGTCAATTCGTTCTGGAGATTTTTGACAACGATCTTCTGCAACTATTGGTCTTTCGATTTATACTGACGTTCCTGGTTGGTGCCATTTAAAAGTTATAAGACTTTTCCTTGAAAACCCCCGATTTCAGCCGAATGACCTGTGATAATCCAGAAAACAGCTAGACAGATCTAATTTACCATGCAAAGTTGAATGATGATATTTGTTTTTAGGTTCGAAATGATTTGATTTTGTTATTTCAATATTTCTGAGCTTTCACAAGGAGCCTTCATGCAAAACGAAGCGGTCGATATTTCGGAAAGTTTGAGGTAACAAAGTCAAATCATTTCGAACTTAAAAACAAATAATACCATTCAACTCAGTATGATAAATTATTTCCGTCAAGCTGTTTTCTTGGATTCTCACAGGTCAATGGTTTGGAATCAAGGGTACCAGAAGAAGTCTTAAAAATCCTAAATGGAATAGCAAGGAATGTCGGTCTTGCGTAAATTGAAAAAAAGAGTTTTTTTTTACTATCAATTAGTCCTATCAGAAACCTAAATAGAATGGGTAATAGCTTCCAAATATTGTTTTCGAAAATCTTCATCAATGATCAATTACTGAACAATCATATTTCACTGTTCTTCGATAGTTTTAGGTCTTCTCTTTTTGACTGGTGAAAAATATAGGTCTCTATGATGTTCCTATTTAAATTTGTTCAAAAACTAGTGGAACACATGATATGTTGATAATGACTTGTAGTTGTTCTTCATTTCAAACAAATAATCTCACAAGAGGTTTTGGTAAAAGAGTTCTTTCTTTACTAAAGGCAGTAATGCAATCATGTTTCTAAACAAGAAAAGAATCAAATGTTTTTTTAAATACTCAATCTTGACATCTATTTTATTAAAAACTTCAAGAAATATCTGAATCTTTTTTTTTCATAGAATCTTCTACAATTTCAAGTACCAGATGATCCTACATATAATAAACATCGAGTATATATTCGTCTTCGACATGCACGATCTAAAGATTATAATCCAAGTGATATAGCGCTAATTGATGGTGAACCTTGGACATATCATGCAGATCCAACATCAGTTATGGATAGTTAGTTTAATATAATTCTATTTCTAAGATTTTACTATATCTTTTTTCTTTTATTATTATAGTTTTTGACAATGGTTTTAATGAAGGCAATGACCCACCGGTACGAAAAAAAAACAAAATTTTAACTAATAAAGTAGGATCAATGATGGTCTGAATATTTTCCATGATATTTTCAAGACATCACAGACATTAGCCAAATATGTAAAATTTTATAATTCAGTTGTTTCACAAAAACTCATTTGTACCTACTTTTTAAATTCTCAAAGTAAAGCTGTTAATCTTCATCTATCATTCAAGACTTTTCTTTCTACATGACACAGTAAAAATAATTTTTACGCTTACGAGTGTATTGTTCACTATCGGATTTCGTGCAATCTCATATTACATCTACGAGTAGATTTCTGTAAGGATAAAAAATGGCTGCTGTAATGGGCTTTTTTTAGTGAGTGTAAGGCATTTTCAAAAATATTAAAATGCACACTTTTGTCCTGAAATATTGCCTATAGATGAAGAGAATAATCATTAAAAAGTTTCAAAGATAAAAAGTTTGTCGATCACGAGATACTCAACTTTTCAGTGGAATTTTTCTATTGTATTCTTCTGTAGTAAACTAATGGTTTTTTTTGGATATTGAGTATCTCCGGCATGACATCATTGTTTTCTGTGAAACTGTCAAAACTTCTTCACGACTGCAGTAAGCAACATTTTAGGATAAAATTCTGCATTTTGATATTTTCAAAATTGCATTACTTCCACTAAATATTCAGTATAGCATTTATAACTCTTTACCTATAGACCATGGTCTAAATTCTGTCAGACTTTTCTTAGCTTCTCTGAGATCTCCTCTTAGCAATAATATAGTTGAAAATATTCTCTTGTTACTATTCAATGGCTTATTAACATAAAATAAACAATTCTAATCTTCAATTTGTTGTTTGACACTGATAGAAAGTCTCAAGAGTAACTAAAAATTCCTTCAGACTTGACAAAAAACTTATGTAACCAACATAATCCTTGTCTTTCTGTTTGCGAGACTTATTCGTCTTAGAATTAACCGCATTGATATTAAAAGTTCGTGAAAATAATAGGTCAAGAAGTTACACACATATTAGATGAATCGCTGATAATGTATGTCAAAACAAATCATAAAGAATGTTTTCTATTATGACGTTACATGATTTCGTATCAGTCATAGGAAAATTTTCCGATGAAAAATTTGATTCAAAATCAACTAGAACTACAGTGTATAGTGTAACATATTGAAAAAATCATTTATTCTATACCAAATATCATTTGTTTTATTTTATAATCTCATTATTGTCTTTTCATAGGGATTTGATTCGAGAGATACATACCAAGATTTTGAATTGGAAATACAACCTGTTAAGCAATCTTCATTGTTACAAGGTCCTCCATTTGATTCACAAGATGTAAGATGGAATAATTGTAAAGTATGCTCATAATAATCTTACAAGGAAAGATTTTCAGGTATGTTCCTAGAATTTCAGCAAAAATTACAGAAGTTTGCCAAGCCAAGTGTTCTAATGTTAAACTTGAAACAATTAGCCACTGAAGCACTGTTTCAATAAAGAAATCGCAGTCAAAACTGTTGTTCACTAGTTAATGCTTACATGCAGCTCTATACGTTTACTAAAATGCTCTATCTGTATCTAGCAATGCTGTTTTTAAGATCGACTTAACATAGACGTGTACATCGAAATGAACAGATTCATAAACTACTTAATCATTGTCACTTAAATGGGTAAGACAGAGTGATGTTTTTCGTGCATTGAGCAGAGGCATTAGATTTAATATTGATGATCGTTGATGAGCAAATGTCTGAAAACAAATACACGATCGGAATGATTCTAGACAAATAAAAGAAAAGTCACTGTATACATTGCCACCGAATAACAGTCTTTATTTAAAAAACGCGTGTCATGCATATCCTAACAATGAGCAGAAACTTTGTTACTGCTAATTGATTGTATATCAACGAATACGTTCAAAGATAACTATTATTCGAGTTGTAATATTGATGTCTATCCAATCCATGACTACATGGTCACGTGTGTCTCTATATGAACTATTTTCATTGCCGAAGAATATAATCATCTACTTGTTCAACATTATCAGTTGTTTTTTGGTAAAACTTGCATTCATTCACATGTTATATCACTGGTAAAGATTTCATTATAAGTATTTATAAAGTTTGACCAAACTAAAAGTTCCATAACAAATATGCATTTTAATTAACTTTTCAGGCTTGCTGCATGTAACATGAAAAGTAGTTGGTCGATTAAATGACCGTGTAAAACAAGATCCTATTTTCGTGTAGGTTCTTGCAAACATATAAAAACTGGGACAGTTAATTTCGTAGCCATATTAACGATTGGCATAACTGTTTAGAATATATCACAGTGTGCATTGATTTTGTCTGATCCATTGATATTAGGATTCTTGTCGATGACTTTTCAAAACTAAAAACTTAGCTTTTTTCAACCATACGCTTTGAATCAGTTCATTGTAATGTACACATCTACATTATGACTGCCATCAAACAATATTTCTGGAGACCGACATTATACTTTAGAAAAAGTAAATAGCTGCATGTAGACTTCAATTAGTGAAAAAAACTATTTTGACTGCAACTTGTTATCGAAGCAGCCTCCGTCGCTAATTATGTCATATTTAACATCAAAACACTTGGTTTGATAAACTCCTGTGATTTTTGTGGAAGCTCCAGGGGCATACTTGAGGACTTGTCAGTGTTTAAAGTTTCTATTAGAGTCAATACTCCATAAAGTCAAAAATATTTCTCATTCATAATAACTTCATTTAGTTCATGTATAATATTTTCATAGATATCGATATTCATTTTTAACATACATGCCATTTTTTATTTTTCATTTTTGTTTTATTTAAGAGTGATGAAGGCAGCAATCATTCCGAACGATATTTAAATACACCTGATGTCGAAACACCAACATCTCGAATATTTTTCTTTCCCAATATACCTTCTCAACATGAAAATACTAAATGATTCCTTTGATCTTTATTTTTATTGTACCTTTTACCACCAAAAAACAAATAACAATAAGCAACAATGGTATTGAAAACAAAAACACTGTATCAATTAATTCATGATAATTTGATTTGTTTTTTCTTATCATTTGTTATATCGTGCTTTGCATTCTTTTCATATTCCGTTCGCTTACGTTTTAATTTTTCAACCTATGAAATGAACAAACAAGAGATATTGAATGAGTTCATCTTCGTCTTTTTTTTTCTTTTGAAAACTAACCTCTTGTCGCTTCTTCTTTTGTGAAAATTTAATTTTATCATATAAACGTTTTTGCTTTTTCGGTATTGTCATTTCACGTAAGCGTCTTTCTTCATTTGCTTTACGTTTAACAATATTGGATACATTGACATTTTGTACTTGACCGGATTCAACACGCATTGCTCGTTTCTATAAGGAAAACAAAAACCAAAACAATTCTCTTTGTTTTATAATGTTTGAAGGAAAAATCATATAAGATAAATAGTAGACCTTCAATATAGATGGTTCAAACAAAACTTTCCAGAGGATATAATAAATTTTTTTTACTGCATAAGTATAAAAGAATATTTTAGGGTAAGTCTTATATTAATCATTTTTTTAAGTTCATTGACAATAGTATCTAAATCAATTTTTAAACTGCATTCAATATATATTAGAGAGTCTCTCTGGATCTGTTGAAAATGGCTTAGAGAGCTATGGATTCTTGCAGACTCGGGTCAAATTGGGTCCACAAAAGCGTAGACGTGCAGCTCATTGATGTTGGTAGGTATAAAGAAGATTAAAATCTAAGCCCATACCCTCACATATAGAATAAAATAAATTTCTAGCACAGAGTATTAGTCTTTTTGTAGACACTATTAAAATAGAGATACCAGGGAAAGCAATTGATTCGCTCGTGCATTACCTATGACTTTCAATGAAATATATCTATTAAATGGATACATACTCGTTCCTCTTTTGAGGTAGGTTTTATTGTTGTTTCTTCATTTTCTGTACGTTTTCGTTTAAGATTGCCATTTAAATAAGCATTGTTATCAACGAGATCCATAGAGGGACCTTGAATAAATATAAAAATAACGATTATTTTATATCGAACAAAATATTATACCTTCATTAGTTGTTTGTTCTTCAGTATCATTTTCTGACTGACGTTGACCAAATCTTTCCGGTGGCACATAATCACCTTCTTTTTCTTCAACAAATGGTGAAAGATGTGGTGGTAATATACTTCCTAAAATCAAAAGTCAATTAATAATCAACAAAATATCATTTATCAATAACCTGGAAGGTAATTATTCACTGGTAATAATTTTCGTGCATTAATTGAATCAAATACCCATTGTGGTTGGATGTAAATCCTGTGATAAAGCATAAAAATATTTATTTTTTATTCAATATAAGCATACCGATTAACAACCATATCATTTAATTTTGGTCGATCGATAAGTTGATGTGTAATACTTTGATCAGATACATCATAAGTTGCACCAGGACACATTGTCTTATCCCATGAAACACTTCCACCACAGGCACTGATAAGTACAAAAAAAATGTTACATTATTTTATGTTAATAAGAAAAACTAAATTTACCGAATAGCAAATGCAAACATTTCTCGTGGAACTTCTCGACTGATAAAAAATTTACATTTGGAAAATAGTTTTTGTAAAGTTTTTGTTTCTTCTTCTTTTCGACGGTTTTCTTCATCGGCTTCTGTATTGCCTAACTATAAATCAACAGAAAGAAAAACTTTAAAAAGAAAAAAATAAGTAAACCATTTCAACATACAAGCTGAGCAGCTTCTTGATCAACTTCAATTTGATCAACTGGATTGACATCTGGTTTTTTCATAATTGGTAAACCAAGTGAAGCAAGAAACTATAATAACAAAAGACAATCATTTTGCTTTTTGTATAGAAATTAATTCTAAACAACAAACCTCATCAGAAAATTCATCTTCCGAACAAAGTGTTGATAAAGATGTTGTAGGTGTAAAAGTGAGCTATAAAAAAAAGTTGTTAGCGCAAATTCTACGAGATAAAAATGAAAAACAGATTTAACTGCTTTTGATAGTCACAAGAAGATTGTTTTATTCTCTCCATTTTGGAATACGATTCTTCAGCACATTTTAACTTAATCCTTCAAACATGCAATTGGAAAATACGATCCATTTCAAAGTATAGACCGTATATGAACAAAATCTTTCATCATCTATGATCATGTCTGACTAGCGTCTATCACATGTGCGGAGCGGGGGGAGGGGGGTGAAAATTTCTACCAAATATACTTCAACACTGCTTTTAGATCGTCTTTCAGACAAACACAAATTTTAATATTTCTAATATTAGAAAAAGAAACAGAAATGCCATGTACTTTAGGTGGATAAATTAAACCCATATCGGAATATAATTTAAAATTAACAAAACCAAGAAGAGTAGTATAAAATTCAAGAAATGTTGCCATAATTTTAAAATCAACATCAGCTGGATTCTATAATAAAAATAAATCAATGACAAAAAAATTTCAAAAAGAAAAATTTACTTTGTGTCCAAGTTTATGAGGAATAATCCAAGTAATTGTTTCACCTCGAATTTCAACTTGAAAATAATAACCTTTAACTGATATAAAACATTTTTTTAATGATCCACTTGTAATAACATAATGAAGAAATTCAACTGATAAACGACGACATAAACGTAAACGTGGTTCATAAAGTTTTTTCAATAATGGAAAATTAGCAAATAGAAATACAAGTGTCAAACAATCATCTAAATCTCTTAGAGCATCAGCAAATGATGGATATCTAAAATAAATCATAAGAATATAATATAGAATAGAACTTTCTTGTTTTCATACCGTTCTCGTACAACATGATCAAGTTTATAGAATGGACGATTGTTACGTAATGCTTCTTCTTTAGTTTTTTCTTTACGTGCTTTTGCTTTTGTTAATCGCCGAAGATATGACTATAAAACAAGGCAACATTGATAACTTACTGTATCAAGTAAACTTTATTAACTATCGAATACTGACTAAGCTCCTATTTGATTTCGAACTAAGATTCAGTAGGATTAGTTGAAGTCTAAAGCAGGCATCGAACTCTTGCTGTATCCAACCAAATTTATCATCATCGTATTGGTACATTTCACCTCGACATCAGGTTTTTATGGAAACCTGAATCATGAATTTTTCCCCATAGGATAGTTGTTAAGACTATTGAAATGTATTTTATATGAGATATAAAGTATTCAAAGAATAGCTATATTTTATAGACAACGCATTTAGAATCTATGAGTCTTTGATGTTCAAACTCTCAAGAACGATATATTCTTTTGACCTGAAATTTTAGAATATTCGAATAGTGTTGACATCTACCCTATGGAAAAAATTTCATTATATTCAGATTTTGATAAACATTCGATCTCAAGAAAAAGTCCTTTTTTTTAAAGCTTTCATTAGTCTTACTGATTATTAATTCTAAATCAAATATTAGACCACTCAGCATTCAACAACTTAACGAAAAAAAAACATTATTTACTTTCAAATGACGAAATTTATCGATGATTGGTTCATGTGTTAAAAAACGTATATCTTTTGCCAAATAATAGGTTTTATTTGCTAGACGACCACGATTTGCTTTACGTCGATTCTTTGGTTCAACTGGATAAATACCTTTAAGAATACATAATCGTCTAAATAAACAGGAACACATAGAAACCCAATTGAAATTTATAATAGATTTTCTTTACCGAAAATCAGCTAGAGTTAATTGTAATTTTCGCAAAGCTTGGTTACGACTGATATAATTAACTGCCGCACCTTTTTTGTACTAAAAAAAATGATAATATCAAAGCAATTAAATTGATAATAACAGTTTTTATTTCCGATTAAAAATGGTTACGTTCAATCTCATTAGTTACGTCAGTTGATAAGGAAACCAGATTTCTACTTACTTTTTTCTGCATTTTCGTCATGATGATTTCAATATATTAATGATGTTTAATATCAATCTGAAAATATTCCATATATTTGACTTTGTCAAAAAAATCATTCTCAATGTTATACATGCGTTTATAAAAAATAATAAACGAAACCTGAAGAAGAAGAATATCTCTGTTTCGCAGCTAGCTTTCAGTATACGATTCTGCCCACAATTAGTTTCATAAGGCCGATCTGACTCAAAGTTCTGGCACTCAACAACTTGACCTCCTCATACATACTGACTAACCACATACTAACTACGAGTACTGTGTTGCATGTCAAAACTTAGTCAGCATACTATCGGATCGATTATCCGAAATAAATAGCCGCAAATGATTTGATCGAGGCCATTTCGTGATTGTTGGCACCGATCTTTTTCAAAACAGTACCTTGTGAGTATGTGCAAAACAACATAATCTTTCAGTCATGATAGCCTATAGCAAAAGCTGATGCTGCTTGAATACTAAAAAAGATATGGAATTAAAACATGTTTCTACTGGCAACTTAATTCAATTTTCATTAATTATTTAATGGCAATTCAATATCCATCACTCGAAGTTTTATGTCGATCAAAATCTTTGAAATCTGCGTAAGGTACTTCCCAATCACATCAATATATATACGGTGTAAATGTAAAATCATTGGCAAACAAACATCTAAATGACTATTAGATATTGTACACAAAGATCAAGTTCTTCAGCCATATCAATTAATTCATCATAAAATTTTTTATCTAAAATTTTCAAAAATAATAATAAAAAGTCTCTTTTATTTTAATACCTTAAATGAAATGGTGATTATAATATATAGCCTGAAGCATTTTCGCTAATGATCCAACACCAAACAATAATAATCTGCTTTTGACGTATATTAAAGTTGTTCAATAACACATCAAAAGAATTTTCTTGTTGATTTTTATAAAATTGCATTAGCAAATTGGTGAATTGAACATTAAAGAAATATATCATCATTCTGGAATATGTTCTAATCGAATAAATATAATAATACCAGGTAATTTACAAATACAATTTTAAAGTTAATTTTGAATTGATTGATAACTTCTTTGTTTCATTCTTGATTATCTTGATATTCTGATAGAAATTTTACACTTTCGTATTGATTCATTTTGAATACTAATCAAGTAACAAAAAATGAAATGACTGAAATTTACTTGATTTAATAATATAATTATACAACAAAACAAAAAAAGACTTTTCGATTTCCAGAAAACAAAAATAAAACATAGACAAACGTAAATAAATAAAAAATTATTCGATTGGTTAAAAAAATTTTAAAGATTATAGTTATCATATACTAGTGTCATCTGTTCATATTCCATATAAAACATTATATGTATTTGGATGTTTTTATAAAGGTTTCGATGTCAATATTGAATGTTTCATATTACCATTCTCAGTTAATTTTGTCATCCATGGCTTATTTGCTTCAAGAATATGAGATAACGATTGAACACTAGTTGATTGTTCTTCATTTGATGGTATATCCACATCATTTTCCTCAAAATCATCATCATTTAGATCAAAGTTATGATTTCTTGTTGTTGCTATTGTTCGACGACGATGTTCGAGTAAAGGCATTTGCGGATGTTCGTTTAATCGATTAGGCAATTTTAAATATTTTTCGGATTCTGCTCTTCGACGATTAGTTATTGATGAATGATTTATTATATTAACATTATTTTCATTTGCGGGTTGCGCCTGCATTTCATCTAAATTACATAAAGCATGTCGATTTAAATTATAGATAAGATATTCTAATGCATGTCTTTCATTATTTAAATCTGTTGTTGATTTATTTTTTTGTAAATGATGATGATTTTCCGTCATATAATTAAGTAAAGCATTTGCTTTATCATAAACAGTTCGTAAAAATCGACGTTTGCGAGCTGCATGCACTAGTTGTAAAATACATAATATTCCCAATACTATAGCATATTGTGTAAGAAGAAAGAAAAATGTATTTCCATATTCATCTGAATCCATATCTTGATGACCATATTTATGAAAATTAAAAATAATATCCTGACAAAAAATATGTTTAGGATTTCTCATTAATTTTGATGTATACAGTAATAAGCATACGGTATGTCGGCCATGTTTCATATTATGTAAATAGAGTGTTAATGTTGAATTAATTATTTCATTTTGTTCATCATATATGCGAACATGATTAGTACGTGTATGACGAACAAGAAAACGTGTTGATACAATAGAATATAATAATGATTCATAAAGACGAAAACGAACTCGAATCGTTCTTTTATCAATAAATGTCCACGAACTTCGATAAGAATTGATGTCGAAATGATGATAATTATTTGTACTCTTAGTACGATCTATTTTCATTTTTCGTTGTTTGATTAATATTTCTGAATTATTATTTAATAATTTGGAGATTTCAAGGGTTAAATTCACCAGAGATCGACTGTGATTAATATTCAATGGTGGTGGAGCAAGAACAAAAAAACATGACCATAAAAAAAACCAAATTGTCATTGATAACATGTTTAAAGAAATTTGAGAGCTCTGATTCTTATGTAATCAAATGAAAAGAAAACAAAAATGTCCTACTATTTATAAATGATACACGGTCACAAGCCTCGACAGAACTATTGTAAAAAATAGTTTTTGTTTTTCGTTCTTACTGGTAAAGAAACGGATGGAAGATTTTTTTCTCGTTATTGTCATGCAGCTGATGCTGCGATTGACATCACAGAATGGATGAAGGATCTATTCAATCATTTATAAGAAAGGAAAAGAAAATCGTTAGATTACTACGTCTTTTTCAGTCGTTTTGTTTTTTGAAGTCCTAAAGGTTTGTGAAGAAGAAAAGCGAAATCTACTATTGATTAATGATCCAATAGAAAACATTTCTTTAGAATTTAGTTTATGTCTTAGAATTGTACTTTATTGAATAGAAAAAAAAACACAATAGCAAATGTCAAGCAGAACATAAAAGAAAAAACAAGTAATTAACATAGCGAGTCTGTGAAAAAGGTGTGCAAATATATATACATAATATGCAGGTGAAAAACTAAACATTTTATTTGGTGTTGCGCAAACTGAATGTGGTGCGTCTTAATCTCCATATGTTTCATCTTAATGAATTTTACTTCATGTTTACCTACGATAGCGAATAACAAGTTTTATCATTATCGACAAATTAGATCTTCACAATCATCAGATAAAAACAATCAAATTAATCATGATATCATTAGATTAAATGTATCTTTGACTAATGAAAATTCTGCATCATCAAATATCTGTTTAACAGAATCCATTAATATCGATACGCCACCAACTGAACCGAATATTGATCCTAATATACAACATAATACTTCGAGAACAATAACGCCCGTTGATATAATTCAATTTGTATCGTCTTGGAAGCGGCAAATAGTAACAGATAATCATCATGATGATGAACAAAATAATTATTCAACACCATTAAATATGATTCAAATTATTTTTACCATTCCATATATAATTACAAATAATACTATTTATAATAAAACTGTATTTATTATAGATGTAGAACATAGTCAATTATTAGCATCTTTAACTGATGTTTGTATTAATGAATCATCGTTTATTATTAATTATTCAACTATAAAACCATTACCACATACTATTTGTTTGTATCTTTTATTAAATTTGACTTTATCAACTACTCTACGGGAAATCTTTTTTTGTCGTACTATTGATGATTTATTTAATAATTTATCTGTATCGCATAATGAAACAGAGACAAATCATAGTGTTGGGCCAAGTGAATTTTTTATTCTTTCACAATGCATTATTATTCTTATCATGATGTTTGTTATATATGGAGTACAAACAGTTAGACAAAAAGATCTTGTCAATCGTGTTAGTCAACGATTAGTTCATAGTCGGCCATATATAGCTATATTTGGCAATAGAACACCTGTACGTACAAGTATTAATGATGTTAATAGTTCGATAAATCCAGCAACAACTCTTCAACGTGGTTTAAATCATCTTGTTTTTCATCGTAATTTAACTTCGTTACCTAACCGTCAAATAAGTGCACCTATTGAAGAACAAATATTAGCTGCAAGTGATTTAACATCAACAATTTTTGATCGACGAGCAACAAGACCCTGTATCAATCGTGATTTAATTGATGTAAAAGAATTTACCAAAAGAATGAGTGTACAAATGGAAAACTCAACAAATACTGAATTAAATGTTTTGTAAATAACACTATTGAAATAATTTATAATAGAGAAATAAATATTTAGAAATAAATATTAGCTTTCAAAGAAAACAAAGATGGTTCAATTAGACGAATAGGAATCATATTTATTAGAGTAATATTAACATCTAACTATTTCTTGATGAAATATTCGTTTGACTTCATATTATGACTGCGAATACTAAGTGTAAGAGATTTTCGAGAAAACTAAAATAATGAGTATTGATTTAAAATTTTTATACATAGCTATATTTGATAGTTATGGAAGATTCAATCAAAATGAACGTGTTTTTCTCAAGATATTCAAAAGTTTATTGTAGGGCGACATAGTAGTCGAGTTTACTTGGAAATTAAATACGTCGAAAAACACATATTGATTTTCATTGAAACTTTCATGACCATTAAATCAATTTATATGCACACCCTAAGATCAAAACTCTTTATTTTAGGTTTTTTTAGTAAAACATCCACGAGTCTTCATCAATAGGTTATGAATATGAAATCTTTTAGACTTTTCGTAGTCTCATAAAGACTCACACATAGCTGTAATATAAAGTCTAATAGCATTGAACAAAATGTCTAGTGCTTAGCTATAGCATAGGCCTTAACATATAACTGCTTAACAAACAACTTCAATTTGAGTACATCAAATGAGAACTTCTAATGCAATTATAAGCCAACTTTGGCAAGTAAATATATTGATTTGAAAATGTGCATGGAAGTATAGGATGTTCCAAAAGTGCATTGAAAACATTAACAGAAAACTGTCTTATACAATTTAAATGATTCAATTTGTAAGTATGTTCTGTAAAGTTCTGTTCTGTATATTTTAAGATAAATATTTTTGTTTATAAACATTAGAATAAAATAAGTTTTATAAATAATCAAATCTGAGTCATCTGTAGTTGCAAAATGAAGATCATAAGTCGAGTTCGGCAAAAAAATACACAGAATAAAGATACTATTAAAGTTATTTTTCAATAGTTTTATGCAACTGATATAGTAAAAGATCGACAACAGTCTAGAAGACTGCCGAAAATCATAGAAAGAAAAGTTAACGAAGATTATGATATTTTTGAAGAATGAACTACACAATCATGAGCTTGAGTTTTCTCAACGGTCTGCTCTAGTCCACAAACAACAGCTCATCAAATTATGACTCAATGTCTTTCATTGAAACCGTACAAGATGTAATTTATTCACAGAATGGAGCAGGTTTTTGTGACAGATCGAATACATGATTGTATTTCATACTCTACAAACATCATAAACTTCGTCGACTTTTCTTGTTTTATTTTCGACGATCCTCCAGAATGTTCTTGATCTTTCATTGTGTCAATTTCACAATAAAACCATTAAAATATGACTTTAATTGAGTCTTCGTTTGGTGTATTTTTTGCCGAACTTGACTTATAGTCTTCGATTCACAGGTATATGTAACTCAGATTTGGTCATTTATAAAACTATTTTTATTCTGATGGTTATAGGCACAGACATTCATTTGGAAAGCTACAGAACTGTACATCTAGTGATCGAAAAATTATCTCTAAATGTTAAGAAACTTGAGAAGAAATAAAATTTATGCGACGGAAATAGCGAGAATTGTACATTGTTTCGTGTTTTTCTCAAAACCGATTTTTAAGCAGAGAAATCGAAGTTTTCTCCTTTTTCTCTTTCAGACGCTTCGACCGGTTAAAGTGAAGTTTTTTGTGTGACAACTATAATCAAATCAGCGTGTATATCTTTTTTTGCTCTTAAAATACTGTTCTTGTGATTTTTAGCAGATCTTACAAATTTACGTTAACTTTCCTATGAACTTTTAGGACATCATATATATAGGTTTTTTTTTCAACTTAGTAAATTAGGTAAAAACTTTGTCTAGACTTCTAATCTCGATGACAGCGTTTTCTATTTAATATTTACATTTCATCATTAAATATTTAATTACGAATGACATATTTATGAACGATAAATAATCGATTCAACATTTTTTTTTTATACATTTACACCCAAAAAAATAAAAATACAATAATGTCAATCGGCTAATTTAGAAATATCTTCGTAAGATAGACTGTCAACACGAGTACCAATCATTGAACCCTGAAGAGAGAAAAAAATATCAATCGAAATTCCAAACAATTATTTTCAACTCTAACCTTCAGAATAGTAACATCAACAGAAAATGTATCTTGATGAATATCTTCTAATGTTGCTTCTTGACCACGATAGGCACCATTGACAATCAAGACTTTCTTTCCTATACAGATCAAAAACAAAGAAAAAGTCCTTTTATTATTCTTTTTGGATAATTTTAAAAATTTACCGATTGCCGGAATAACTGTTTCAACATGAGCTTGATCAACGCGAAGCTTATCATTCGTATCGATCATTTTTATAATAGCTTGATAATGATTTTCAACCTTTGTAATAATACCTTTCCTTTTATAATATTTTTCACCAAGTTTCAAAGTTATAATTTTAACAACAATCCCCTACAAAGGAAAAAGAACAACGAAATTAATTTTTTCTTAATTGAAAATTCAAATATAATATACTTCATGTAACCAATAATCTTTACGATTTCTTTGTTCTTTCATTTTTTCTTCCATCTAGAATAAATTAAACATAGACAAAAAATTATGATAATAATAATAAAGAATTTACCTCTCGCACTTCTTCAAGTGCTGATTTTTTTCGTTGTGATGAGACTGGCAAGGGTTTTTTAAAGACAGAAGTTTCAACCGTAGTTTCTGTTTTAGATTTTTTTGCATCAGTTTCATCAGAAGTTTCATCAGTAGGATTCGCTCGTTTTTTACTACTAGAAGCTAATATAGATGGTCTGAAAAAAATCAAAAAATAACAGAAAAAACATTTAAAAATAATGAAAAACTTACGGAAGAAGTTTTTTCTTTTCTGCAACAACAGTTTGTTTGAAAGTTACTTGTACTAAAAATAAAAGGAAACAGAAATTATAAAACGAAAAAGATATCAAAAAGAAATAAATACTTTTCTCATCTTCTTCATTACGAACAAGTTCAGTAAATACAGGTTCAGATAATTGAATACCTCTTTCTTGATCTCTTTTAATCTAAAAATTAAAATATTTAATTTATTAATATTATTTAGCAAAAACAAACTTGTTCAGCAATTAATTTTTGTCGTCGTTGTTCATCATCTAAATCCATTTTGTCTTTTCGTTCATTTTCCATTTCACGTCGTACAGTATCAGGATCTTTATCAATTAATGTAATATACCATCCTTTTTCAGTTTGTTCAATTTCACACAGTCCTAAACAAAATAAATATTGAATTGATTTATTTGAGATAGATATTTTTTTTTTTTTTCACCTTGACTTCCAAGCCAACGAACATATCCTGCTAATGCAACCCATCGAGTAGCATTCATATGAATATGATCACGATCTTTAATATATTCACAATAAACTGTATTAGCTAAAACACGTTTCGTGCCGAATGAACGACGTAATGTACTGAAAAAGCCACTATGAAATTCACTAAACGAAAAACAAGAATATAATTTTTATTAAATAAGCAAAAGAAAATATTTTTATTTTTTTTTACTTTGAGTAATTGGCAATATATTTGCCGGAATTTTCACCAACAAGTAATAATTGTCGTTGATGCGATTCACTTTGTATATGACATTTAAATCCATTCTAAAAACAAAGAAAATCGTTTTTCTTGTATATTATAACTTTTATTTGTTAAAATTGATCGTAAAATATATTATGAAATCTCGAATTTTTCTTCACCAAACCACAAGTAACATTCGATTATGATAATTTTAGTACAAATAGCGTAGAAAGCTGTTCGCGCAATGCCTGCAGGATTGAAATATGAAACACGATATAGCCGTTCTTGCTAATCACAGTAAGATTGTTTTATCCTATCTGTTTTGGGACACATTTTTTTCATCAACCGTTTACTAGATTCTTCACAGATGTAAAAAGAAATTAATAACGAGACGTTCTTGATATACGGTGTGTGACATCCTTGGGTCAAGGAAACTTTTGTTTTTTCTTAGTGAAATGAAAAATTTTTCACGCACTCTTTTAGAAAAAACCTTAACAATCCTCTAGTATTTCAATACTGACTGTCTCAGGTCAATCTCAGTCATAAACTGTGGCTTTTCCATAGGTCTGTGAAGGGTACAAACTTTTCCATCGTACTTCAACACTCTTTTTAAATCATGTTTCTCAAGAAAACATTCATAAGATTTTTGTTTAAATTGAATCCAGTTTATTAACTTCAGGTGTACAAGAATTCAAGTGAACTTCTCCTCTACAATAGAAGACTCTCCTTAATGAATTTACTTTTACAATATTTGGATTTAAATTAGTATACTACGATCAAAATATGCTTCTTTTTTAAAGTGTTTACCAGAATATCCTTAAAAAAGTCGGTCAAAATTATTCTTCTGTTTTTAAACCTTAAAAATTTCTTCGCATATTTTCGAAATTGTAATAAGTTTTCTGAACACACTTTTAATTGAAACTAAATTTACCATCATATTTCCTTTATATATAAATAGAATGATATCGATGTTTGTTATTACAAATAACTTACCTCATCACGACATTGTTTTTCACATGATTGACAATACCATCGTAACTTTTGTAGACCTTTTGCTTTGATTCGATTACTAATTGCTTTAGGCGTAAGAAAACCACCATCTTTACCCATGATTAATTTCTTTTCAAATAATCTAAAAGAAAAAAAATTCTATACAAAATAACAGATCTACATTCTACTTTTGACTTGAAAAAAAAAACAACAAAAATCATTTCTTTCATTTAGTCAGTTTTTTTCAATTTAATTTTTTTATATAAATTAAATTGATATAAATAAAAACATCCACAAAGCATAGCTATATCATCAATAATATAATCTATTAGTAACCAAAAATTGGTATGCCATTGATTTGTTCTATAAAGTATACATATATCTAAGATAATATTTGAACAAATTAAATAAAATGCTAATTGACATGATTGTATTAGAAATATATCTAAACAAAATCCACCTGAAACTAAAAAGAAAATAATTGCATGTACACGAATAATAACTGTCCAAAAGAAATTTTTAAATAATTTTGTCTCATCATTTGACCACCAAAGTATATAAGCATTAAGAACAAAATAAAAAACAATTAAATATGTTGATATACGACGTAATATTGATCGAAATGATACACTTGTTGTATGTAAACTAGCAATAAAACAAAATGTTGCCATTGTACCAAGTGAATGAATAATTATACGAATCTGAAGAATAAAAAACAGTTGTTTTTTCTTCGGGTAATATAATTCTAAGTCTTACTTTTAACCAAGGAGTCAATTGTTGAAGTATATTTGAATATAATAAATAAGATGTACATCCAAGTCCAACAATATGTGGTAAAAATCCAAGTGCATGTCGAAATTTTCTATCGCTAACAAAAATACCACTTAAAAAATGAAATGCTATGAGAATATATACAATTAAAATATAATGTGATCCAGTATAACTAAAGCAAGTGGCCAAAAAAAATAGAAAAATAAACTAAAATATGATAATTTATGATCTTACTCTTTTTGTGTATTTGCCGATAGTTGTCCGATAATAATTGGTAAGGAAAAACTTTTCCAAAATGAGTGTCGAATAAGATATTGTGTTGCAACAATTTTACTCCAAAATAACCAATCTTTTTTAGGCGATAAAGCTGCAGTATTATTCGTAGTACTATACAAAAAAAAATAGAAGCATAAAAGAGCTACATGAATTTCGGTTCGATAACTTTTCGCACAGACACCAAAAGTCATATAGGATTTTCGAGTCGGACTAAAATATCTTTTATTAACTTTCCTAAAAACTCGAAATTCTATAAAACGTCAGTACACTCTTTAGTGCTTACGAGGAAACTCACCGAACTGATACCCCCTCGTTGAAACTCATCTACAATTCACAAAGAAGTCCGAATAAGACTGAAAAAATACTTACAGAGATTCGTGTTACTGGGCTTGTGAAGATGATTTATAGCTATCTCACTGACTTTTCAACCCATTTTTAGGTATTTACTGGAAAATAAAATAACAGAAATTCACTCATAGACCAAGGTAATGATCCTTAGAATAACCTGAATGAAAATTTAAAGTCAAAAGTTCAGTGAAACTATCATAACTCGGCTGCAAACCTTCATGAGCACCAACCCTTTTAAGCTTTTTCAAGTCTTTCGAAATTTCCTTGTATACTTTAAATGAGCCCAAACGACAGATATCAGTTCCAATTATTCCTTCGTTAGCAGCATATATTTTCAATAAAATGTTGTGTCCATCAGGACAACATAGTACTGAGCAGTCTGTTTTGATCTTAGAACTATAGTTTGATCTAAATGCATGCTACTGATAAGTAATCTTTAATGGAAATAGACACTACTAAGCGTTATGCTGTCTGGCTGAATATTGTGCCACTCTGGTAGGTACCATATTTTCATAAAAATGTATACTACTAAAGACTATGAAGTGTACCAATTATTCATATAAATAAGGCTTTTTATGAGGATTAATGAGAGGTCTTCGTGTTCGATCCAAAATTCTGAACTTTCGAATAAAAAAGAACGAAAGAAAAAACGGACACATACCTATTCGATTCTGTCATCGAATTAAATGCCAAAGTTTCTTATTTTTTCAATCTAAAAATCAAAAAAACAACAAAGACAAACGAGTTTTTCTTTTCTTAAGTAAAAAGTGTATTTTCTAATGTCCATATTTTTCTTTTTCTGAATTAACAACATTTTTCATTGTATTTTCATATGGATTAAATAATCGTGGATCATCAAGAAAAACTGTTTCTTTCCATTTATATGGCATTAAATTGAAACGACGTGCTTTTAAGATAGCTTTTTCAAGTTCAACTTGTTTAAAATAACATAAGCCAGTTGTACGTTGATTAAAAACAAAACCTGTTTGTGGTGAAATAAATTGACTTAATAATTTCGTATTACGAAAATCAATTTTAATGTTATGCACACAAAATATACATTTATGTGGTGATGGTAAATACGGATCATTCATTTGTTTAGGTCGATCATCAGTTGGATCATATTTTACATCAGGTTCAACTTTAGTAAAATTTACTGATGATGATGGACAAGTTTTAGAATCTTCATTAGATGATGATGTTACAGATTTACGTTTTGGTGGTCCTAAAAGAAATTGTTCACGTTTTTTACGTAATCGTTCGTTTCGACGAGATTCATATTGAATCCATTCATCTATAAAGTAGAATATTCCTTTGTCAATAAATAAAATTCCTATTTATATTACCATCTTTTTCATAAACATCGGTTGTTAAAAAGACTGATGTATTTACTTTATTAGTATATTCGTCAATATCAGCCCAATCGATAGATCGTATTGAAGATAGATGAAAAGGACGAATTGATGTACGCCATATGAATGAAATCGATGGACGAAAACGATACATTTGGTTCATTGTGCTACTATAATATAAGTATATGTTATTACCAAAAGATTTATTTTTCTGATTGATGAATTTTATGAGTCATGTTGTGCAATATTGTGCTGCAATAGAATACAATGCAAATAGATGTCATTAGATTCAAGGCTTGCATTTTTTGTGATAATTTAATCTTTCTATAGAATTTCATAAGTATTTTATGAAATATTATCTACAGCCTTTGTGCAGTGAAAAATTTCATGAATGAAAAGATCGTAACAAAATTTAGCTATTGTCATTTTCTACATAAAGCCTAGAAATAAAATGAAGTCTTGAAAAGTGATTAGTAAGAATAATTAGTGATCTCGTACATAGAGATGTTCTGTAAAAAGTCAATGAACAATCCATTCAAACATACTAAAATCTTGTTATGATGAAGGAAGAGTTATAGTTTATTTGATGGCTAAAATGTAAACATTCCACTCTTAACCAACTGTGTGTCTTTGAACATACTGTCTTAAGAAGAAAACATGTATTTGACAAGTTTCATGTGCCAAACTGAATATGTAGAGAGATATCATCAAATCGAACTTGCTTTCTTACATTTGAAACATTCATATATTTCATCGCTAGCAATCATTTAATTTAACTTACGTTAGTAGTGGATTTAGCAGCACGATGGTTTGGCGATCTACAGTTCATAGTGAAGTTACCGATAACTGTCGACTACATTTGTTGAAGTGCGATTTCAATGTTCAGTGAAGTTCTCTAGTGAGTAACAGCAAGTGATCGAAAAATGACATTAACTAATTCGTATATTAGTTGATGATGACTGCAAAAATGGTCAAAAATTTGACGTAAACGGACATTATCAGTCATATAGGCTACGTCATTAGTATTTAATTGTGAGGTACGTGTCAATATGCTACCAAATATTATATAAAAAATAACGAGTCATCTTAAATAAGTTTATTATCTAATGGATTCTGAGAGTGGCTGAGTTCTCAGACGAACAGTAGAAGTTTAAAAAATAATTTATATGCATTGCCCAGATAGAAGTTTTTAATCAATTGCTCGTATCTGTGGAAAATATTTATTCAATGCACTTGTTATTTAAATAATCAATCCAATGTAAGAAATTCAATAATTTTTTATTTTTAAAGCACTACCTACATGTACAAGATGATGAAAATAATACAAATACACACAACATCGATATTAACAATAATGAAGATAGCTCGATAATTATTTAGCATAATCTCAATAGCCATATCATTAGTCAACTATTGATCATAAAGTTGTTCTAGTTTGAAAATTTTACTAAATAACTATTAGAATAAATCACATTGCAACTATTATTGTTCTTATTTAGTTTTTCTTTTACTTATAATTTAACAACTTTAATTCATATCATTCAATAGAAAATATTTCAAACTCTTTTGTTATGATTATCTTTTTTTTCACGTGATAATGATATTCAGTCTTTGTCAAACAGTAATGCTCTAAATTTTAACAAGTATACATTGAATATAATTATTTTTAATCGGTTTATGCTATATCTCAAATAAAGTATCATAGCCATCAATTTTTTATAGGGTCACTAAGATTTTCAAATTTCTCTATTGATACTTATGAATAGGATTATGCAAAAACAGATTAAGTGTATATATACATATATGCGTATACTGTAGTAGATGCTGTTTGATTTATTGATAACGTTTTGATTGAAGAGCTTTGACACTAACTTCAGCATTTCACTTTTATATCAGTTTGTCTTATTGAAAAATGTTTTATTTAGTAAATAAAGAAGTATATTATGTTCATAAAAAGTTCATATTAGTCTTATAGAAATGACATCCAATATATATATATATAAACGATTCTTTTACATAAGTAGAATATCGTCGATTAGTGTCGATGATCTAAATAAAGATAAAAGAATTCTTGTGTTTTTGTTTTGATTTGAGAAAACAAGCTTCAAATTTTACTGTATGTTCGAAGACATGATTGATTTTGTTTGTTGTTTGTTCCAGTTAACAAAAATAATGCCTTCTCTTAATCCATGTTTTCTAATATGACAATTATTACAAAGATATTCATTAGTTATGGGTTGTTGACGAACCCATGAAGTCAATGGTAACGAGCATTGTGCTAAAAAAAGAAAATAATAATAAAACAAAACATCTTTTGTTCATTATTTTCACGAGGTAATTAACTCACCACAAGTCCAACAATGTCGATGATACTTACGACCAGCTTGAAGAATGCCTTCGCGTGCTAATAAAAATCTGCCACACTTCGGACAAATCATTTGCACGAACAAGTTTTTTTTATATATGCACCACTCGATTAATAGCTTATTGTTGTTGAAATAAGGAAGAAAATTGGCGTTGTCGTCATCCTCATAGTAATGATCGAAAGAAAAGAAACAGAAAGCAGCACAAATGGCTACAATTCCGAGTACACTGGTATAGAAGTAAAATATAAGATTCTTTTTCTTCAATTCTTCTTTTATTAGTGTCTTGAATTGGACTAATAAATAAACATGAGCAGCAACAACAGTTGTAGTTGATCGAGAAAGACATAAGAGAGCACAGTCGTGCACACATTTGCTCTTTTTGTGCTTCATTGTGTTGAGTTTTGCAAAAAGAAATTCTTTTTTTTATTCTGATTAAAAATGTATGTATACGTCGATCAAAAAGAAAAAATGAATTTGCCTGCTTATATTCAGTTATGTATTTTATTACACAGGCAAAAAAAGACTTTCATAAGATGATTTATAGATGCATTTTGAATTCAAATAAGAGTTACATCAATACAAAGATACGGTGAAAATATTCAATAAAAACTCAATGTTATACGTGTGAGATGCGCATAATTGAAATCATAATTTTTCATGAGAAGTTAATGAGTTATTGTCATACGATATATGAATACAACGTGTGTTACATTCACTTGTTGATGATAAAAAAAAGACATACATTTTTTTGTTTAAAAATAGTCAAGCTGCTGTAGCTAGGACGTAGGTGTAGATGTGAGTATTCATCTCATCCACACTCCACCATACATAGCTATACGCCTCCACATCTTACTGTATCAATCCCGTCCTCACACATTCTATCTAATTGATGATACAAAAGCTTCAATGATGAGTTGGTTCGGAAGAAACATGTAAATTGGAAATTCATAAAAAAGGGAGATTTTGTCAATTACGTTATTTTAAAATTCAATTCGATGTTTTCCAAATGAAGTCGCCAATGCTTAGAATTAAACAATCTAATCAGTATCGCTTTCAAACATCCATAGTTATTGCTGTTATTCATTTAGCGTTACATTAATAAAGAACCGAATCTGATACGAAGACAAAAAAGAAAAAGGTAGTCATTTTGCTGGGTAAAAAGTGTAAATGATCGCAACAAATAAACTCTAAATGATGAAACTTATCTCAGTTCATAGTTTATATGTTGCGAGTGTGTCGATGTTCTGCTAGACTAATCGCTTCCCTAAATTTTGATTTATCAGACAATGGTGTTCAATTAGAATCAATCAAGCGAAGTACTAATAAACTGACTAAGAGCAAATTAGCATTAAAATTCTGACTAAGTCATTTTATCATTTTGCAATAACGAAAGAAATATTTTATATCTCATCTTTACACATAGACTGAAGTAATTTCATCTGATGCTAATTTACAACACTACACTCAATAAATAACAAAAACTATTACAGTAATGTATGACTAACAGTAGGTTTTTTGCTACTTACCATTGTTAATTATCGAAAATGTTGCTTTAGCAAACATATGTTGCCACTAGCCCACACATTTTCGTCATTGCAACATGTACATGATCCCAGTTGATCATTTATCCCTAGGTAAAATGTAATAGGCCACTTTTCGTGACTCTATCCAAACCACCACATATGACACATTCATGCAATTTCTTCTTATCTTTTCACATTTATCGACACAATATGTGTTGACAATACCATATGTCGTGTCTAATATCCTCTTGAGTCAAGTTACTCATTACATCATATCAAGAAATTATTAAAAACAAAGAAAAAACAAATAGATAATATCCTATCAGCAACTCTCATTATTTTCATCGAATAACAACTTGCTACCATCTGATTTGCCTCGTCCGACTCAAAATTTCACTGATAATTCACTATCTCTAATGATTATGTCAAATAGAGGTGATGATGTTCGTCTTCTGTCTATAATGAAACCAGTCTTAAATTTTCGTGATAATCAACATAAAGAAGACTGTATAACAAAATTACACATTAGCGATCAATAAAGATATTCTAATGTTGAACAACCTGACGATAATAATAGTTACGAATTAGATGAACAAATTACTTCTCACAATGAATGATCATGAAATCTAAAAAAAAACAACCAAAAAACGACATCGTCATCATATTAAAAGGAAAAACAAATTTACTATTCCTCCATCAATAACATTCTCTGGTCCATCTTCAAAAGGAAAATAATAAAAATAGATGATAAAAAATGCATCGATGAGATGATGATGATGATGATGATCATACAAATGTTGAAATTGATCATGTTTCTGAAGATGTTTCAATCAAACAAGGAGGCACATATTATTCATATTTCACTGAAGTCTTTGGAAGTTTTCAATTAGATCAAAATATTTCTGATAATACCGAATAGTATAATAATAGATGTCGTAAAAATGTTCTTGTATCAAACGTTATCTTACTATGTGATACAACAAATCTTGAAGAAGATGAAAAAGAAATAATTAGTTATGATAAAAAGACAAAAGATTCAGATGATGATGAACAAAATTTTTAGAAAGTCAAAAAGACAAGCCTAAAACGTGAAACACGTCTTAGTATTGCACAATATGGGTCTTGATAGTGAATCAACAATCGAAGAACATGAAATTGCATCAACGGCTACTAAACATGCTCATCATCATACACATTATCATGATCATCATGCTACATCAGAACAAGAAAAATGTATATATTTGACTGGCTTTCAAACTTAACATGGAATTGAGGATTTTATTAGACTAAATGGTACACAATTGTCAATACTTGGTACGAAAACATCACAATAGTTCAAAATATATAAACCTCATTTTCATGTAGACATGAATCATGATAGAATTCTAACACTTTATACAGTTTTACCTGAAAGCAGTGTTAAAGTTGAACAATCATCTTTATTATCAACAAATCGATCGTATCTATGATTTTGAATCAATTCGAAAAGATCAAACGACTTGATTATCAACAAATCGAACTGATACATCTGGTGATGTTGGTGTAGCTCTTAATCTTGATGAACTTGAAATGAATAATTAATCACTTGAGGCATGTTATTAACAACAAATATAAGGTAAAAGAATTAACTAAAGAAAATCATACTAATATGATTTCGGATCATTCAAACAAGTAAAACAGGAAGCGTAAAAGTCATCAAACATATGCAAATGTCAACGATAATAATGCAGCTAAAAGAATTAAAAGAATCCCAATTTTTTTATATGTCCATTCTCGACGTATGTTTTGTTTGTTTTCACATAAACACTGCTCTTGTCTTCTCACTGTTAAAACAATCATATTGTCAAAAAAAAACTCTAAGCAAATACATGTCACAATGATAAAATCGTGCTGACCAGCGGCCAGATTGGCATGCTGCAGCAACAGCTGTGATGGAAGGCATGAAAAGAGTGCAATACCATTTTGTGATTAGCCTGAGTCTTTCTGTGACTTTGTAAAATATGTGATAAAATGATTATGTCTTGTGTGTGACATAGGCACCTAACGAAACATGTGCTATCTAATTGTTATGAATCATGCTGTAACTTATTTCATCCTTTCGAAATATTACTTTTCAATCAACAGTGCTAAATAATGTTCGTATCAAGAAAAGACTAAACTGTTTTCGGTTTGATGTAAATATGCAGGAAATCAATCTTAGTTTAGGTCATCGATTAGAAAATGCATTATTGATGAGGAAAAGCTCTGAGCGAAACGATTCCATAATAAATGAAAGACTATAAACCTCTATCGATAATGTAAATAAAAGAAACTTTCATTTGCCAGCTTTGTTGACTAAGATCGAAGTGTAGTATCTGTTCTGGTTGACTTGAAACCCAATTCTAGTCTCTTTGAAGCTGGACTCTTCCAAATGGATTTTGGAGACCTGTTAGTATCACCTAAGTTTACTGGAATTTGTGTCACAGATCGTCTTGACACTGCAATTTCATTAATGTCGGTTCAATGGTCCACCTTTCAGACAACAGAAATCATATTTCAAATAGCAAAAGAAAAATGAAGAACGATTTTTGATGAAGAATACATCTGGAATATCAAAAAAATATTTAGTATTATTGTTTATCGGACTGAATTATTCCGATTTCCCATCGTTATCTTTACTCCATATATTTTTAGGTAAAAAATGGTACAAGTTGATAAAATGATAGCATTATGGGTAAATATGACTTATGCATTTGCTGTTGATTGGACCCTCTATTTGTTGTGAAGACTCTCTCTTAAACATCTTGCTAATTAGCCCATGTGAACGTGCTCCTTCTAGTACATCTAACCAAAGAAAGCATACCTGTGTAATACATGCGCGAATCCTTAGCAATTTGTCATTAAACTTCGAGCGTTTAAAGTTCAGAAATTACATCTTATCACAAATATAACTATAGCTAATATATTTTCACTAAACTTTATTTGATATGTACTTAGGTCAGTCAGAAAGTAGTGGCAGTAACCCTTTAATGACTCATAGTAAGCTCAATAAGAATTTCTTTTCGTATGAAACGATAGAGAAAAAAATGCTCTATCTTTCTATGCTATTTGATCATACTTCAACTAATATCATAATAATAAACTTTCGGCAAAGCTTGTTTCGTTAGGATATGTGCTGGTTATACAGGGTTACCAAAAATGTTTTTCCATGGGGGTACAGCTTCAACGACAAATAATATCAACACTGAATTATATGCTAAATGAAAGCCCGTCAAAAACGGGATTTAGGAGTATAACTCGTCATTCATAAGATGAGAATGGGCTATAGAATTACATCAAGCTTCATTTGGTTAACACTCACATGGATGGGTAGGCAATCACAAAAACATAAAGTTCTCAGAAATTTGTCTGTCTATCGGGTTTTGTAGAGCTCTTTTTGCCGGTCATTTTGCTAAAAAAATCTTTTAAATTTGATCAATAAATAACGGTACTAAGGTCAAAATACTCAAAACTATCTAGCTATATCAACCAGAGGATACTGAAATTTTCAGTATTTTGACCTTGGCGCCGTTATTTATTGATCAGATTTAAAAGATTTTTTTAGCAAAATTATCGGCAAAGAGAGCTCTACAAAGTTCGATAGACAAAAAAGATTTCTGACGCCTCTATGGAAAAACATTTTTGGCAACCCTGTATAACCAGCACATATCCTAACGAAACAAGTTTTGTCGAAAGTTTATTATTATGATATTAGTTGAAGTATGATCAAATAGCATAGAAAGATAGAGCATTTTTTTCTCTATCGTTTCATACGAAAAGAAAGTCTTTTTGAGCTTACTATAAGTCATTAAAGGGTTACTGCCATTACTTTCTGGCTGACCTAAGTAATTACATTTTTGTATCATTTAGCTTTCAACAAACATTTGACAATGTAACTAGAGTGTATTGTCTATTCCCTAAAGCATACCTAACCGATGTTTTAAGTTGAAGAGAAAAAAATTATCTTGAAGGAACTATGTGAAATACTCTTTTATGATATTGAAGTGAAAAACAATAGTAACCATAATGTCAACTTTTATTAGTTTATCGTACACTACATAAAGCTGAGCTTGATGAAAACTCACCATTCGCTTTAACAGCTTATGCGATTGAGCTTGATTGCATCAAGTAATAGTTGTTTTCGAGTATTAATAATTAAATTTCTCTTCCAATGCCCTTTGTGTTTTCACTATTTGTTTGAAATCTGTAAAATTTTCTATTAAATGGAAGTATCTGAAGTTTTGTATGGTAGATCTTATTCATATCCATGGCAATAAAGATCAGAAAAACATTTTTTTAAATAATGCTTCACTATTTCAAAAATATGAAAAATAGTGAATTAGTAAATGTAATTGCTCTCTTCACACTTTTTCGCTCACTCGATTGAAGAAATCCATGCATTTGACTTGAATCAAATAAATTTATGGTCGATGAATCAAACAATTTTTTGAAAAAATTATTAATGCATATTGACATAAAATATTGTTGAGAATTAACTTGTTTGAAGAGTTGTTCTAATTCGAAGTTTTTGTTGACAACAAAATATTTTTCTTATTGGCCAATATTTGTCGGAAATTGAATGTAACCGAAATAATCTGACTGGGAACAAAATGCTTCTCAGCGTCTTTGAACATAGCAGTACTATCATTAAAATTGTTAAGCATGAATAAAAATTGAAGAAATGTATGGACTTTTTTCGAAATGAAACCGAAGAGAGAGTAGTACAATCATTCGATAGATAATTAAATTAGATGATGTCGCCCATATTTCATCAGTCTCCTGTTTGTTCACTGAACTCGGCTTACTCAAGTAAAAAATTCTTAAGGCACTGTTCATGAAATGAACAAATTATTTGTCTTATAGTATCAACATCAGCAACAATTGGTACCTGGTCTACAGTCGTGCTCAGTTGTGTCCATTGACTGTTGATTTCCTCCAGCGGCGGATCTAGGATTTTTTTGATATGGGGCGATTTTGACCAAAAATCGAGTTTTGAAGTTCATTAGTAGTAGTATGCACTCTATTTTTTGAAGTCTTTTCTGCTGGGAAAAATCGAAAATTTTTTTTTCGAATGGGGGCGATCGCCCCAAGCGCCCCCCTAAATCCGCCATTGATTTCCTCTCGTTTGCCATTGAAGTATGTCTTTGTTCAATAGAGAGAATTAGTTTGATGACTGAAAATCAAGTAGAAAATAAACGACAGAAAATTTAACTTTTAAACGGTAAAACGTATGGCTGTTTGTGTAGATAATAACGGGTGATGCAAAAGTTTCTGCACAGATGTTGGTCCATTTTTCATTGACTAAAACGTGTTTGGATAAACTTGAACGCAATTGTATAGAATCATCGTCGAAAGTTCTTTTTTAAATGTATGTTTAAAAAGTTGTATCATGTCTTCTCTTTCAGTCGATAGTACGTCTTAAAATAGGACTAAAGTGTGGTCTGTAAAAACAGCTCAAAGTAGTGGACACCAAAGAAATATATTTCTCAGTATTCTTTTATTCTGTTCGATGCTATCGATAGTATAACGCTGGTCTTTTTTTTGGTTAGGTAAAACATTCAATTCAAGACAAACTTAATAGAAAACCGTATGATATAACGTTAGATGATGTGATGGACAATTTAACGAACAATGATGCAAGAAGCAACATCAAAACTGAATATGAATACGATGATGAACCATTAAAATTTTTCGAGATTCGAATGACGCTATTTGTTAATAAAACTAGTTTAAATGATGGCTACAAATGGCCCGAGATATTTGCTCTATGAATATGTTTGAGCCAATCACTGGCATTGACAAAGTCGAGCAGCAAGCAAAACAATAACAATATCAATCTGAAAATGGCTTGAGATCCAAAAGTGAGTCCTCTTAATCCCAGGTCGAAATAGCTATGTCGGATCCTGTCGGACATGTTTTAAATCTGTTGACATACGGCTAATCGGATTCGGTCGGTTACTCTTTGTCGGATTTCGATGCTATCTACTGTTTTCCTCTGATATCCGCTGATCGGATTCATCGAGTTCCGATTAAATTCATATATTCAGAACTGGTCAGATCCGATCTCAGGATCTGTTCGCTTCCGATGGGATTCAGGGGAATCTGATGTCAAGAAATGGCTGGAGTTTGTGGTTTCACATGACACCGGATTCCATGATAAAACCGATCAATCACTGGTATCGAAACTTGTCGGATTGTATAAGAATACAGAAGTTCCATTGATCGGATTTTTTCATGTCGGATAGCATAGATCCGACAGGAATCAGTTACTGGCACATATCGGAAATACTCCGTAAATTATGTACGCAATTCAGCGAAATGGCTAGGGCTCTGTAGAAGAAATAATATCATCACTCTCTTCTTTTCCATTGTCATTCAAGGTTTTCTCATATTCCTTGAAAAAAAAATCGAATAGCGACGAAATCTATACTTTGAATAATCGTTCAATAAA